GGGGGGGGGGGGGACTTCTGGAGGCAGGGCACCAAACTTTAGAACTACCTGAGCTGGAATTGAAGTTGGGGCTGGGACTAGAACTGAGTGGAATTTGGGGCTGATATTGGTTTGGAGGCTGAATTTAAGATTGAGACTAGAGTTGTAGTTCTCACTGGGTGTGTTCTGGCCCAGGTTTGTGGCTGAGATGAGTTGCAGCCAGCTTGAATTCAGGAATGGGGCTCCCTGGGCCTGGGATGGAGGCTGGGATTAGAAATTGGGTTGGGGCCTGGGTTCTGGCAAGGAGGAAAGTCTAGATGGGATTAGGGCTGGATTTGGGGTTGGCACTGTTTTGGTTTGGGTTCTCCTGGAAATGGAGCTTCAGTTGGCACTGTGGCTAGAGCTGGACTGAAATGTGGCTGATGGTATCCTGGGGCTGTGACAGGATATGGATCCAGCCCAGAATGAGGGTTGGGGCTGAGCCCAAGGCACGCACCAACCACGGTGACATTGATGGCCTTTTCATCTTGATGGTCGTACAAACTCTCGGACACATTGCAGATGTAGGTCCCTGAGTCGCCCAGCTCAGCACTGGGGATGTGCAGGGTGGAACGTATGTGGGGAATATCAAAGTCGGTCACTGGCTCCACCAGCCGCCCACTCTGCAGGGACAGGTAGGGCAAGTCCCCCAAATCAAGAAGCATCCAAGAAGTCAGGCTGCCGGTTAAGATATCCATCCCTGCCCGGCCCTTCCTCCAAGCCCTGGCCCAGCATTACCTCCTCGCGGGGGTACGTCCACTCAAAGTTGACCACCTCGTTGCCAGTGACGATGCACGTGATGGTGATGTTCTCGCCCTGGCGAACCACAGTCTGCGCTGCATTCATTGAGACATTGATGGATGACGCTGGTGGAGAGAGACTGGCTTAGGTCTGAGGAAGTCACCACCAGCTACCAGCACTTCAGCTTGGGGATGGGGTCAGGGCCCAGAGAGAGAAGGGATGACTGGTGTGGAAGATGCATTTATTCCACAAATATTTATTAAATATCTACTCTATGCCAAGTGCTATTCTCGGCACTGGCGTTTTAGCAGTAAACACAATAGACAGAATTTCTCTCCTCATGGAGTTGACATTCCAGAAGGGATAAGAACTGGAAATCAAAGTACTCTCCAGGCATCTAAGCACAGGGGAAATTTATTGCGCATAACTGTGTACCAGACACCCTCCATCTTCTTTTTTATTTAATCTTTTCAATAATCCCATTTTACAGCAGAAGAAGTAGGCTCAGAGGGATGGTGTGCCTTGTGCAAAGTCACCGAGGCAGGAAGTGGCCGAGCTGGGATTCAAATCCAACTGGCTCCAAAGCCCGTGCCGTTGCCTACCACTGTATACCACCCAGCTCTGCCACTAACGCATCCCAATGACCTGGGGCAAAGTCCACCCTCTTTCTGAGCCTCAGTTTCCTCATCTGTAAAATGGAGACATGATCTGCCTGCAAAGGCTGTAATGAGGATCCAGTGACAAATAGAGCTGTGTACTTTGTAAACTGGAAAGGGCCTCTGTGAATGGTCATACTTGCCTCTGCTGAGCATCAGGCCAGAAAGGGGGCTCACCCTGGAGGCTGTAGACATAGTAGGGCTCAGAATCCACCTCCTTGTCCCCGATGGTCGTTTTGCAGACATAGGTCTTGTCCTCAAAGGTCCCAGAGAAGCCACGTTGGTGGTCATAGGGGATGGGAAGTGGATCGTCCACTTTCTTCTCATGCAGTGTCACCACCAGTTGGGGATCCGTCACGCGGCATGGAATTGTGGTCTCAGTTACTTCCGTGAGAAAGATGAAGAATTCCTCGGGGAAGATCGGGAGGAAGCCCATGGTGGGGTCTGCCAGGGGTGGGGGGCAAAAATGGGGGTCAGGGGGAGCTGGGTTTCTGGCTATCCCCTGAATTGCTGTGTGACTTTGAATAGGCCCATTTCCCTTTCTGGCGCTCAGTTTTCCTATTACACAATAAGGCTACTCTCAGAAGTCCCTTCCAGCTTTAACATTTGATAGCGACAGTACCAGTGTGGGAAAGCCACCTGGAGCCTGTGGAATGAGGAAGCTGGGAGGTAGAAAGAGGGAGCATATATTGGAAACAGCTGAGAATGCAGAGCTCTTGGGAGCCAGGACTGGGGTGGGCTGGAAGGGAGCAGATTGATATTCAGACCAAGGGGTAGGAATGAACATGCTCCTGGACTGAGCCAGGCTGGGTTCCATAATTCGTCTGCATTTCTAAGCTGGCTGTATTTCACCATGTCACTAAAGCACTTTCTGAGCTTCCCCAGATGCCTGTAGTTGAAGAGGGGTAAGGGAGTGAGCACAGGCCTTACCTGGCACAAAGATGTAGAGCCGTTTTTGCTCACCAGCCTCCACCTCATTGGAGTTATTGTAGGTACAAAAGTATTCTCCTGTGTCTATCCCAGTGACATCAGTCAGCGTCAGGATGCTGGAGAAATTGCCATCCTCGGTCTTGACCATTTCTTGCGTGAGCTTCTTGGACATCCGTTTCCACACCACAGGCTCTGGACCCGAGCAGGTCAGAACCAAGGTGCTGGAGACATTGAGGACAAGCTCTGGCCCCGGAGGTGTGATGACCAGACCTTGGGATGTCTGTGGTCCTAGCAACAACAGCAGGGGCAGCAAGAGCGCCTGGCCTTGGGGAGAGGAGGCACCAGATGTCAGAGCCCAGGAGCCTCCACACCTCTCCTCAAAGCTGACACATATGCACAGCCCTTGAAAACGACATGTCCCTAATCCAAACATAGACTGGAACCCATGGCACTGAGGCCTGCTCACTCAATGCCCAGTCCCCAGGGCCTCAGGGCCTCCTGATCTCAGTGCCTTTAGCCCCCCAGCCTTGAAGTCCTTCAGCAAGCAGCATTCAGGCGGTGGGCATGTTCTCACAAAAGCGGCAGGAAATCCTCGGGAAGTAATTCCCAGCCTCCAGTTCCTGCATTATTTCCCAGGTCATTTTCTGCGTCTCTTCCCTAAAGCTGCCCCAGCTACCCAGGTTCCTCCCAAAGCCCAGAGGTGGCCCTGCTTGGGGAGGGTGGGGCAAGGTAGCTCAGAGTGGGGCAGACTGGGGCAGGAGAAATACTGAGGCCCTTGGGAACTCAAGGGGACAGAAGTTGTGGGGTTGTCAAGTGATTGGTTCCAGTTCCCGAGCTGACATCTCCCAGGGAAAGATTCTGTAAGCCATGCCCCACAGCCAGTCAGCCATCCTCAGGTAAGCAGTTATCTAGTCATCAATTGCCAATGAGCATTGATTGCCTGGTCAGCTGCCTGGCCCCTGGACAGCCAAGTGAATGTATGGGAAGGAGTGAGGGAAGTGTGTGCTGAGAGAAGCCCAGCCTGGACTTGGCAGTTCACGGCCAATGAGGGATCCAAGCAGGGTGGGGACTCCCGAACCTCAAGAAGACCCGCCAGACCAATACCAGCGATTGCTGAGAAGAGATAGGAGCCTGGGGTGACTCTTAGTGAGTTGGGTGGGAACAGCTGGTGAAGGGGCATGGGGTGTGGAAGGCCAAGCAAAGGATCTGAGCTGAGGGCTCTGAGCAAGCAGGGAATCCACTGAGGTCTGTGAGCTGAGAGTGGACAGTGGAAGCTGGTCTCCACTGAGACCCACTGGAAAGGCAAGGAATTGAGGCTGAGAGCATAGCAGTGCCCCTCAGTGCCTAGGCTCTGGTGTTAGCATGCACCACTCCTGCCAGCTCCAGGGTCCTGCTTAGTGGCTCCCCAGGACCCCTACCCATGCCCCCAGTCTACCTACCTTTGAGGACAGGACCTGGCATGGCACTCAGAAGCAGCATAGTGTCCTGCAAAGTTAAATGGGGGACAGTTAGGGCCCAGGGTGGGCAGGGGGGATGCTAGGGCCCATCTTCATACCTGGGTCCTGCAGAGTAAACCTCATCCTGGGCTACCCAGCCTTCTTGTCCATGGGGCCGAAGTCAAAGGTTACCCGTGTCCCATGGCTGAGAGGGCCCCCTGCCCACAGGTCCCCTCCAGCTGCACTAGGCCCAGCCTCAAGGAGCCTACTCTTCTTTGGCTCTGTCTCTACCTCTCTGGTGACCCTGGCTGAGCCCCTGCCTCTCTTTGGGCCATAGTTTCTCTATATGTACAGTGGGGCGGGGGACTTGGACTGGATGGTGTCCAGGGGCCCGCCTGTCCTCCGGGTGACAGTTCCAATACCAGGCTCTTATCTGCCAGGACAAATATTTGGGAAAGTGTGATGAAAGGCCTGGAGGAGAAGGAGGGGGTAAGCCAGAACCCACAGAACTCCCACAGCTCCACAAGCACAATAGGAAGTGGAGGTGGCTGTGGGAAGGGAAGCGGGGGAGTCAGGGCTGTGGAATGTAGGGGGAGCACCCCCACGCCTGGCCCCCTTTCCTTGGTTCTGAGCTGCACAGGAAGGCCCAGGGTAGAGGGGCCAGCGGCTGGGCCCTGGGGAGGCCCCACTGCAGAGCAAGCCTTGGGAGGTCTGTGGAGACTACTGAATCCAAGCCCCTCATCCCACCCCTAGTGTCCAGATGGGGAAACTGAGACTCTGAGAGGAAAAGAAGTTTGCCCGAGGTTACACAGCAGAATTTGTCCAAGAGAGATACAGAGCAACCTGGACTGATAGAGGGGGAAAGAGACAAAGACACAGAGAGACGGAGGGAAGGAAAACAGTGATGGAGACAGAAAAAGCCAGAAGCAGGGACACTCACTGCAAGGCAGACTGAGCTGGATGAGTCTTTGTTCTATCCCTGCCTGTGGCCACCCATCCAAAGATCCCAAATAACCACCAAAAGCCAGGCTTGCAAGGGTCTGCCTACAGCATGGACGGGAAGGAGACCAGAAGGGGATGGGAGTCACAGCAAGAAATGTGGGCAGTAGCCACGTGACCAGGCAACAAGGAGCCTCCTGGTGCTGTGGGTCTGCTGACTTCCCTGAGTGGCTGCCCAGCCTGGCCTGGTCCTCAGGCCACACCCAGGTCACCCCCATTGCACCCCCAACCTCAGCCTTTTAGCTTCCCGTCCAAGGCTGGAGTCCGGATCTGAGCCCCAGCCAGGCTGCCTTCTGGGCCAACACTATCTCTGTGTCCTCAGTCTCCAGCTCTCAAAATGGGATAATGCTTAGCATACCACTTACAGCGCAACATTTACACATTCGTGGACCCCCAGTTTCAGCTCTGCTCAGCACCCCAGTGAGCTCTCTGAGTGAATCTGCTCTTCTCCTCCGTCTCCCCATCCCTTCAGAGCAGCCTGCCTGAGGGTCCCCTCATTTCTCCCCTCTCCCATTGCTCCAGACTGAGAGCCCAGCCCTTCCGATGTGCCCCCTCCCTCTCCCATCCCTCCTGCCCCAGCCCCTCCAGCTGGATGCCAGGCCTCCTCCAGCAGGAGGGAGCAGCGCCATGGTGGAGCCAGCAGCCCCCACAGAGGCCCATCTGCCCCTTGGTGGGTGCCCCTCTGACTCCCCCCTTCCTGCCAGAGATCTCAGCCAAAGAAAATCATTAGCAGCCGAGGCTGGGGGGAGGGGGTCATTTCAGCCTCCCTGCCCCTCCCCTCTCAGCCTCCTTGGCTGGCCACACTGTTTATTATTCTAAAGGAGGAATTTGGTCGGCTGGCCTGGAGATGGGAGATCACTGCAACTGGGGCTGGCTTGGCTCTGGAAGGCTGGGCTGTGTGGGCTGGGCCCCCTGGGCAAGCAGCCCCTGACCCTGGCTCCTCTCCTGCTGAGCCCTGGGCTGGGGGTGGCTGAGAGTCTCTGAGAGTCTCAGCTGGGAGGGGTCTTCTTGAACAGGCAGCAGAGGCCCAGAGATGGAGAGAATCGTGGCCTAGTTACACAGCAAAAAGGCGGAAGAATCGGGCTATGGGAAGAGGACAGGCTGGTCAAAGGAGCTTCAGGAAAGTGTAGACACCTTGGGAAGAGTATAGATGTCCTGGGGATCTTGGGCTGGCTTCTCTCTTTATGAAATGGGCATTTGGGCTCTGATCACAGGGGTCACGGGCCCACCATGAGACTTAGCAAGTCTCTAGCTCTCCCTGGGCCTCTGTTTCTGCATCCATGGAGGGAGAGGTTTGGATGGGTCATCTCAAAGAGCCATCCCTGTTCGAAAACCGCCAGGAGAAGGCTCTAGTCACTATTATTTC